GGTCCATCCTGACTCTCCATCTTTGGCTTCAAGCTGCATTTGTGGCAGTGGAGACATCGACTCTGAAAGAATGTCCCATCACCTTCACATCAACCATAACATTCACCAGAGAAACTGGATGTTTCATTCCTAGGAAGTGTTTCAGTTAGGCCCAAAGCTACAACAGGTAGAGTGAAATCCTGGTTCAGCTGAAGGAAATGGGAGTTTTCCCTCTGACTTCAACAGGGCTAAGGTTTCAAGCTAGAGCTTTTCCCCAGAACCTAGATATCCAGGAAATGGAGCATGCTGAGCGGCAAATGTATATGGCCAAATTCTGTTGTAAAACCAGAGTGACTCCACGAAAGTCAAAGGAAGCACTTTAAAAAACTGGCCACTAAAACTGGTCCACAATGCTATAATGCCGGGGTTATTTAAATCCAGAAAAATGTTATAGCATTGGTAGAGATGGACTACTAGACTATGTATAACAAAATAAATCGTTTCCTTCTGTGGACTCAATGCTGTCCTCTTTACGTAGAGACCATTTTTCCCCCTAGTGAAATCCATGGGAATTTTGTCAAAACAAAGACCAAGGGCTAGCTGCGACCCTATGCAGAGTTTTGCATGTGGAGTGGAGAAACTGAGCAAGATGCTACTGTGTGGGCCAGATTTAGATCTTGCTTGTGCGAGACAGGACCTAGAGAACCTCTACTGCAAGCCAAAGCAAGGTCAGCATTAATTCACAGCCAATGTCCCCTTAGAGCTGATGGGAGACGATACAATGAAAAGAGCATCCCACCAGCTCAGCACCTCCAAACTCAATCTCCAAAGAGCACCCACAGAGGGACTTTCACAGGCTCATGGGGAACAGCGAGACAGAGCCAGCTTTCTCCTTCCCTCCCTCATCTGGATGTGTTGACACTTGGTACCTTCCTCGCTGAAACAGAGTAGTATAAGGATGGCAGGCTATGACTATGTGTGTCCACGTATAGACATAATAGGGGTCTGATTCTCATTTAAGGCTCCTTTACAATGTTCAGGCAACATAAAGAGTCCTTAGAGTGGGCATAAATTGACACCCTCTTTGCTTCATTCTGGAAGTATATAGGGCATTAAAGGAACCTTGATGTACATCAAAACTAGCTGATATGTGCTAGGGTGGGGTGTACTATAAAGCTGTTGTGGTCATCTTTAGGTTGGCTGTGTTATGTCTCTCTTTCCAAACAAGTAGCAATAAAACATTCATAGCTTATTTTGTTTAGGCCACAAATCATGTTTGTGTTACATTTTTTCATTTTTTGTTCTTTTAGAACCCATCCTCTGTCCCCACCCTTTTAACTTACTAGGGGCTTCATTGTTCCATATTAACTAATCTAAAGACACACTTTACTGATGTCCATAAGTGCAATGGAAAGTTCATCTAATATAACCGTTAAAAATTGCTACCGGGATTGTTAATAAAAGGTCTCTATAGTTCCCTTACTAGAGTTCCCTTTCTTTTCTAATTTATATATAATTAACATGAAACAGCCCACTTTTCACAGGCTGGACTGGTTCAAAACATCTCTCCCTACCAAAGAAGCCAGGAACCTTCAAAGATACGCGATCAAATGAGATGCCTTCCTCAAAGGAAAAAAATGGAGAAAGAAAAAAAACAAGGGCTACATAAGCTGGGGAAGGGGAAGAGTGGGAAATAAAGGGAAATGATTTTGAAAAGTATGTGAAGCATGGATGAAAAAGAAGAAAAGAAAGAGTGAAATGAGCACATTGAACATAACATCAGAATATAAGAATGGCCATACTGGGTCAGATCAAGAGTCCATCTAGCCCAGTATCTTGTCTTTCTACAGTAGCCAATGCCAGATGCCCCAGGAGGAGTGAACAAAACAGGTAATCATCACATGACCCATCTCCTGTCATCCATTTCTAACCTCTGACAAACAGAGGTGAGGGACACCATTCCAACCCATCCTGGCTAATCGCCATTGATGGACCTAACCTCCATGAATGTATCTAGTTCTTTTTTGAACCCTGTTCAAGTCCTGGTCTTCAAAACATCCTCTGGCAAGGAGTTCCACAGGTTGACTGTGCTGTGAGAAGAAAAAGTTCCTTTTGTTTGTTTTAAATCTGCTACCCATTAATTTCATTTGGTGACCCCTAGTTCTTATGTTATGAGAACAAGTAAATAACTTTCCTTTATTCACGTTTTCCACACCAATCATGATTTTATAGACCTCTATCATATCCCTCCTTAGTCTTCTCTTTTCTAAGATGAAAAGTCCAAGTCTTTTTAATCTCTCTTCATATGGGACCTGTTCCAAACCCCTAATCATTTTTGTTGCCCTTTTCTGAACCTTTTCCAATGCCAATATATCTTTTTGAGATGAGGCGACCGCATCTGTACGCAGTCTTCAAGATGTGGGTGTACCATGGATTTCTATAGAGGCAATAAGATATTCTCTATCTTATTCGCTATCCCTTTTTCAATGACTCCTAACATTCTGTTTGCTTTTTTGACTGCAGCTGCACATTGAGTGGATGTTTTCAGAGAACTATCCACAATGACTCCAAGATCTCTCGCTTGAGTAGTTGTAGCTAAATTACTCCCCATCATTTGGTATGTATAGCTGGGATTACTTTTTCCAATGTACATTACTTTACATTTATCAACATTAAATTTCATCTGCCGTTGTGTTGCCCAATCACTTAGTTTTGTGAGATCCTTTTGAAACTCTTCACAATCTGCTTTGGTCTTAACTATCTTGAGCAGTTTAGTATAATCTGCAAATTTTGCCACCTCGCTGTTTACCCCTTATTCCAGATCATTTATAAATAGGTTGAACAGGATTGGTCCCAGTCAGGACCCTTAGGGACCACTAGTTATCTCTCTTCATTCTGCTAACTGACTGTTTTTTCCTACCCTTTGTTTCCTGTCTTTTAACCAATTATCAATCCATGAAAGGACTTTCCCTCTTATCCCATGACAACTTACTTTACTTAAGAGCCTTTGGTGAGGGACCTTGTCATTGGTAGGAGTTAGATCTCATACAACTAGGTGCTGGAACATTTTTCCTTATATCTTTGCTAATGCACATAAGTCCTGACCTACAACACCCCTCCCCACCCCCAAAGGCTGGGGTACTCTTACTACATGTGAATTAATGAGAGGCAGTTGTACATTATGAATGGTGACAGCCACACACTCCTCACACATCTCTCCTTTTCCTCCCATTTTTTCTTGCTCCCTTTGAATTGTATTTTCTCTGTTCAGAACAGTTTTCTTCTGCCAGCATTTCTAACAAGGGCTGATGGCTGGGTGACCAAGGATTGCCCGTCCCACGTGTTGAAAGCCTCATTAGATTTGAAGCAGCAGCTGAATGAAACTGACATCTAGAGCAATACTGGATTCCCAGAAGTGAGCGGTGCAGAGGGGAGAAGTCTGGTCCTGTACGAATTCAGGGGCCTTACCCGCTGGGAACAATACTATGGAGTTTCGTAAGGAAAGTCGGCAGATCATGCTCTAAGCCAAGGCTAGAAGCGGGTGCCTTACTCTTCCTGTTTGCCACGCGGATCAGCTGGGGGAAGTTAGAAAAGTCTGGGAGCAAAAGGACGTGGTCTCTGGAGCTCTCTAGCTGCTATTTGCCGCTCAGCACCATTAGCTCTGTCGTCCAAGAAACTCTGCTGGAAACCTTCCCAGCTTGCCCCTGAAGTACCAGCCGGGCCCGAATGTAAGCCATGGCTCTCCTATGCCACTGCGGAGGATGACGTGTGCCAGTCCCGGTGCCTGTGTAGACGCTTCCTCTGCGGGTGTGATCCGGATCCATGCAGGGAGCTGCTGTGTGGGTCAGGAAATGCTCCATGGAGCTAGTCGACTTTCTGGAGCTGTAAATAGCCCTGGGCTGCAAATCACTTGTTGTTTGCCTCCTGCGGGCTGACATACGTGGCCGGGACTCTGCGGGGCCCAGGGACTGCAGGCAGCAGCTGAGCGCTACCGATCCCAGGCAGCGCTGCGGGCCAGGACTTCCCCCGGCGCTGGGGCCGCCCGCTGGCTTTGGGCGAGAGCCTTTCGGTGGGAGTGGAGCGCAGCCAAGCGACGGAGCGGAGCTATCTCCGGGCACCAGCAGCGCCACAACTGGGCGGCCTCGGAGCAAGTCCCCCGCCGCCGGCCAGGGGAGGAG